ACAGCCTCGACCTGCTGGGCTCAGGTGATTCTTCCGCCTCAGCCTTCCAAGTGACTGGAACGGCAGGTGCGCGTCACCACACCCAGCTAATTTTTTATTTATTGTAGAGACACGGTCTCACCCAGTTGCCCAGACTGGTCTCGAACCCCTGGGCTTAGGCTTCCCAAAGTGCTGGGATTACAGGCTTCAGCCACCACGCCCAGCCATGGGTTTAATTCTTAGGGCAACAGGAAGCCATGGGGTGTCTTTGAGCAAAGGAGTGACAGGTATCATTTGTGATTCTCCTCTGACTGCTGAGCAGAAAAGACATCGAATGAGTCTATACGTAGAAACAGGAAGACCCATGAGAGGGTGGAAGGGGCCACATGGTCTCTGACCTGCACTGGCCTCAGGGCCTTTGCATTACTTTTACTGTTATCTCTGCCTAGAACCTCCTGCTCCTCCTCCTCCTATTCTTCCTCCTCCTCCTTTTTGAGTCAGGGTGGTCTCATTCGGTTGCCCAGGCTGGAGTGCTGCATCATGACCACGGCTCACTGCAGCCTCTAACTCCTGGGCTCAAGTGATCTTCCTGTCACAACCTTCCAAGCAGCTGGGGCTATAGGCATGAGCCACCACACCTGGCTAATTTTTAAAAATTTTTTGCAGAGATGGGGTCTCACTATGTTACCCAGGCTGGTCTCAAATTCCTGGGCTCAAGTGATCCTCCCACCTCAGCCTCCCATGGCACAAGCCACTTGCTCCTGGCTTTTTTTTCTTTTTTTTTAACTTATTGTAGAGATGAGGTCTCACCAAGTTGCCCAGGCTGGTCTCGAACCCTCTCGCCTCTGCCTCCGAAAGTGCTGGGATTACAGGCATAAGCCACCGCACCGGCTGGGCAGGTCTTAAATAGAGTAAAATTTACACAAGATAAAATTAACTGTCTTAAAGGGTACAGATCAGTGGCATTTAGTACGTTCATTATGTTGCACAGCCATCATCCCTGTCTGGTTCCAGAACATTTTCGTCCCTCCAAAAGGAAATCCTGTCCCCAATAGCAGTCACTCCCCACTCCCCCTCCCCAGCCCCTGGCAACCACCAGTCTGCTTTCTGTCTCTATGGATTTGCCTATTCTGGACATTTCATATAAATGGAATCACACAAGATGTGGACTTTATGTCTGGATTTTTTCACTGAGCATATTTTCAAGGTTCATCCTTGGTGTTGCTTGTATCAGTACTTGTTAAGGGTTGAATTGTGTTTCCCTAAATTAATGTTAAAGTGTTGTCCCCTAGTACCACTGAGTATGACCATATTTTAAAATAGGGTCTTTACTTATGTATTTGTTTTTGAGTCCAGGTCTCACTCTGTTGCCCAGGCTGGAGTGCATTGGCACAATCATAGCTCACTGCAACCTCAACCTCCTGGGTTCAGATGATCCTCCTGTTTCAGCCTCGTGAGTAGCTGGACTACAGATCCATGCCACCACACCTGCCTATTTTTTTTTTTTTTTTTTTTTTTTTGTGGAGGCGAGGTCTTGCTATGTTGCCCAGGTTGGTCTCAAATGCCTGTCCTCAAGCAGTACTTCCATTGTGGCTTCCCAAAGTGCTGGGATTGCAGGTGTGAGCCGCCACACCCAGCCAGAAATAGAGTCTTTAAAGAGATAATTAAGAGCAGTTGTAGGATACACATATAGAAAACTGTATGGGATTTAAACATAATATATATGGCATCATCATGTATCCGTCCTTTTAAACTATCATCTCTCCTTCATGTTCTGTTCTTTCATTTTCTTTTTTTGTTTGTTTTTGAGTTGGAGTCTCACTCCATCGCCCAGGCTGGAGTGCCATGGCACACTCATGACCACCTCAGTGTCGACCTGCTGGGCTCAGACAATCCTTCCGTCTCACCTTTCCAGGTAGCTGGAACTACAATTTTATCAATTCTATGTGTCTTTCTTTCTTTTTTTTTTTTTTTGAGTTGGAGTCTCACTCTGTTGCCCAGACTGGAGTGCAGTGGCCGCTCCCGGCCACCGCAGCCTTGACCGGCTGGGCTCCGGTGATCCTTCTGCCTCAGCCTTCCATGTAGCTGGAACTACAGGCATACGCTACCATGCCCGACTAATTTTTTGATCTAATTGTAGAGATGAGGTCTTGCCAAGTTGCCTGTGCGGGTCTCGAATCCCGGGACTCAAGTCTATGTATCTTTCTTGAATGGATACAGATATAGCAAAACTGTAAATACAGGCATGAGGATTATAATCCACAAACTCAAACTCAACGATTTGGGAGAGATGTAAAGCCAACTTCTCTGTGTCTATAATCTTTTATTTCTTGGTCAGGATCATGATTACAGGAGTGTTTTGATACTTTTTTCCTTTGGTTTAAGTTTTCTCATGAAGGTGTTTTGATATTTTAATCTATATTTACTTGACTGTCCAAAATAGTTTACTTTTAAAAGCAGGGAGCAGAGAAAGGGTATAGATTGCTTTCAAGTTTGTGTTATTTTTTATTATGCACTTTTATAGAGATGGGGTCTTGCTATGCTGTCCAGGCTGTTCTTAAACTCCTGGGCTCAAGCGATGCTCCCACCTGGGTCTCTCAAAGTTCTGAACTTGTTCTTTTTTACTGAATTTTTGAGGGGGATCTCTTTCCATGCTGAAACTTAAAGAGCTTCTTCGGTCTTGTATAGCTGCATAGTGTTCTGGTACAGTGTCTGGCGAGTTTGGAAAAACGGATAAACGAGTGTGAGTGGAGGGAGTGAGAAAGGGGAAAGCGTGTCGGGGAACAAGGGTGGGAGGTGACGAGGGCGTGTCACGCAGGGCAGGGCCCTGTGGGTCTCGGGGAGGATTTTGGCTTTTGTCCTGAGGGAGATGGGAGCCATGGAGGGTTCTGAGCAGAGGAGGGGCGTGACCTGCCTCAGGCGCTTACAGGCACCCTCTGGCTGCTGTGGGGGGGCAAGGGTGGAAGCTGGGAGACCTGGGAGGGACCGGCTGTGCTGTTCCAGGTGCGAGGACGGGGAGGGGGTGAGGAGCGGGCGGATTGTGGGTAGATTCTGGAGTGGACCGGACTCGGAGTCAGAGGAGCCGAGGATGCTCCAGGGCTCGGCG